CTCCCGCTCCTGCCCTGCCAGCCTCTTCTAGAGGAGCCCAGCCTGGAAGAAGGGATTTAAAGAGCCCAGCCGGGGCAGCCCGCCCCGCTCCGCCACCACAGCGGCACCGAGCCCGAGCCCGGCTCAGCGCTGTCTCCGCTTCCCCGGCACCAGGTAGGGAGGATCCCGGCCGCCGGCGCTGGCAGCTGCTGCGGGACCAAGAACTTTCACCAGGTGTTTCGTTGGGGGAGGGTCACCCGCTGGAGTTGGCTGCAGGGAGGCGTCTCCCCGGCTCAGCAGCTGGGCAGCGAGTCGGCGCCTCGTCCCTCTGCCCGGTCCAGCTCTGGAGTTTGGGAACGGGCTTATCGGGGCCGGGCTCCTGCTCCTGGCACCCCGGGGTGGGCGCCGGAGCCGCGGACTGTTCGTTAGAGCCTGGCTGGGGTGCTGGGGAGAGGAGCAAGCGGGGTCCGCCGCGGCCTTTTCTCTCCCTGCTCTTGAGATAGTTGAGAGCAGATTCCTATTTCAGCCCACGCACTGGTTTTATCCTTTGCTGGATCAATAAGTATGGGTGTGCGCACGCATGGGAGTGATCAATAAGTGTGCGCACGTGAGTGATAAGTGTGTGCATGGGAATGATCAATACGTGTGTGCACATGTGAGTGATAAGTGTATGTGGTGGTCAATAAGTATGTGTGTTAGTGTGCATATGTGTGAGTGATCAATAAGTGTGTGCGTGCATGCGCAAGCGATGTGTGTGTGCATGCACGTGATCAATACGTGTGTGTGCATGCACGTGATCAATACGTGTGTGTGCACATGTGTGAGTGATTAATGTGTGTGTGTGTGAGTGCATGTGTGTGTGTGTGTCCCAGCCCTTCCCATGTCTCCATCTGCATGGCCAGTCTTTAAATGAAGTGGAGGGGTGCTCCACAGGCTCCGGCCCCACAGCAGCTTGTTCAGTTCTAGTCAAGGTTGACCCCAGAAATGCTGGAAGTACTTGGAGTGCAATAAGAGCATCTCTCAGGTTGCAAAAAGAAAACCCAACTCAGCCAGATTATATTACAGGCTCTCCAGTGGGGCAGGAAGCATAATCCAAATGAAAGGATTTTTGCAGCTCAAAGGCAAAAGTCCTTCCTGAAGAATGGCAAGATTTGGTTAATGAGCCTCTCCTTTTCCTTATTTCAGATAGGTTGTAGAGGAGGTGCATACCCCTATTTGCAGGTCTTTGATTTGCTTTGCTTACCTGCCCAGACCATCCCTGCACTTCTCAGTGAGGTGCAGATAAAGTGTGTCAATGTGCAGAATAGTGGCTCATATTAGAATAAAATATTATGGTGCTATTGAGGCTCATACATAAATAATGTGTTGCATTTAGTACATGCTGCATATGCGTAATAGCAGCAGCACTCAGGACCATCCCTAGTACAATGAAATAGTAAGTCAACCAACATATTACTTCCCCCCCCCCCAAGTCTTTGAGTTTAGAAATAAGAATTGCATTAGGAACCATGAGAACTGTCAGCTGGGTTTTTCTTGTGCTGTTAGTACAGACTAGAAGGCATTGGGGCTGCCAGCTTTAAATAATTTTGTGAAATTTTAGTTTGATTGACTAAATAGTTGGCTTGGCATAAGCTAACAGGAACACTTTGTCTCCTTGGTCCAAAATTTCCTTCCCGTTCAAATAGGGCAATCTAGTTTAGTTTAAAGCCATCCATCTAACCAAAGGGGAGAATCCACTCTTTTGGTTAGTTCAGAGTGCTGTAGTTTTAGCTCAGATAACTTCCTTTCTGATTAGCTTCTGTAATTGGAGGCTGCTCCCTACAGTGGTGTAAGCGATTATTTTCAAAGTCAAGTTCAAGAAGGAAAAAGAGTTTGAAATTGTCTAAAAATATCTGTTAGCTAGCATGAGATCAATTCAGTTCATCTGAAGAGCCATGCATCTTCCACTGTCATGTCCACATTTTTCTTTTAGATCTTTTATAAAACTCACACCAAGCAAACACGCCAGTTATTTATTAAATTGTTCTGTGTACACATTTCCTTTTTTTATAGTTTGTATGCGAGAAAACGTAATTTTTGTTTGTGGTCGATTTGAACATATGATAAGCTCCAAATCTCGCTTGTTATGATTTTGCATGCTTTGTATAATCTGCTGCTCTTCTAGCTCAAATATAAACCTTTTCAATAAAAGGGAAAGAAAAAGCAGTAGTTTCTGCTGCCCTTATTCAATCTGAAGTGCCTACTGGGGTCAACAGGGAATTTTGCTTTTATTAAGGAATGCAGGACAGTGTCCAGTTTGTTGTAGAAATGGCTTTGGGTATGCAGTAGGAGTTCAACTAGATAAATTTCCTTCTGGTCCACTTCTCATATTCCCAGCTGAGTTTCTGCATTGAAATAGAACTACCGGTACTTTTAAGCTCTCAATTTAAAACAATTAAACCTATACACTGGAGAAAGGGTGAGACTCTTACCTAAAGAAATTAGGAAGTTTATTATTTATCAGAGAGAGGAAGAAGTGGGGCCGTATTGACTGAGAGAGAAATTATTAGGTGCTGTAGTGAGGGCAGCAGCATAACATCCTAGAAAGAGACAGAGAGGGAGAGTGTGTGTGTGTGTAATCTGCATATATCTGTTATTGTCAAATGCATATGTATATGTATTTGTAATTTGTATGGCAGTTGTGTTTAGGAGACCTAACTGAGACTGGAACCGCTAGTACTAGGTAGTGTACAAAAACAAAGATGCTTCCTGCCTCAGAGAACTTCCTGATTGTGAGATTTCTGTATAAACAAATACACAAAGAAAGGATGTTACTTTCCTAGTTGTACTGTCACCAAATATTAGAGTTCCAGTGCAGAAAAACCTTCCAACCACCAAATTTGTGTTCGTGTTCTGGAAAGGATTAGTCAGTTTACTATTTCAACGTTTCTGGTGGCATTACTCAAATACCCGATAGTAAACACATAGGAATGGAGTCCAGTAAGTTTCACAGCACATCATGGTCATTTGCTGGTGCTTTAGAACTCTGTTGCTGTAAAAATAATATTTTAAAATTGAGAATAAATGTAAGATAAAAATATTGCCCATAAATCTTGCCTTTGTTTGGAGAGGTGCTTTCATTATAAGACCCCTTATTATGGTGCTGCCAACTTTTGAGGGTAAAACCCTTCATTCCTGCCTCTTGGAATTTTGGGGTGGGAAGGTCTGGTCAATTTAACATTCTTCAAATGTGAAGAAATCATTGTATCCCACTCTGTGAATCTCAAACCAACTTTACTATAATACTTCAAACTTACAGTGGACTTGAAATACTTTCTTGATAAAGCAGCTGTCTATTATATTGGAAAGAATTTGACTTAGAACTAATGAAGCTGATAGTAAATTTGAGCTAGTTTACATTCATGTACTATTGATTGCAGTGGTGCAATGCCAACTTAGCGTAGTTGAGCATGTTGTCCAGTAAAGATACTTGGATCTCATCATGTACATATGCTTTGTGGCTAAGTTCTTCAAAGCCATCCTTGGGACTTGAATATTTGATTCTCTTTATTCCAGTTCTGAATAAGAATTCCCTTAACCACATATTTAAAAACTTTCCTGAAATGGGACCATAAGAGAACAATGGATGTGTTACTTTCAAATTTATACATCAAGTTATTCAGGAAAAGACCTTAGTAAAATTAAGAATGGATCTTTTAATATGAACATGAAGAATATTTGCAATTCAGTTAACTAGCAGAAAATTGCAAAGGTTATTGGTCTGCACCTTTAGGCAGAAATTGTTCTGGGGTAGAGGTCAAATGTTTCCCATTGTACCATACTGTGGTTAGTTTATTATGGAGGATTAATGATATTAATGAAAATCAAGCATCCAAATGCCCTAGGCAGAAAATCAGTGCAGCTGAGGTCAGATAACTTTTTTACAATATTCCAAGATGCACAGAGCTCAAGATATGTACAGGCAAAAGTAATCTACTTTGAAATTGCCAGTTGTATTAAACATCTGTGACTGTATTTATTGAAGGAGTTTACCAGGCTCTCATCACTATAGCATATGAGTGCCTAACAATTTTTAACTTTGTTTTAGCTTCATAAAATCCCACTTGAGATAGGGAAGTGCTAGCATTTTACGGAAGGGGCATAGAAAGTCTATTTGATTTACCCAAGATTACTCGGGACTCTGTCCTATCTGGGACGGAGTAGGAAACTGACTTTCGGTCTCTCAAATCCTAAACTAGTTTCCTAGCCACTAGGCTGTCCAGTCTGGAATAGACTGCTTGGGGCAGCCTGTGATAAATGAACCAAACCCATATACGTTTCCAGTATG